AGTTTTTATAATCTATTAAAGCAGCATTATAAAAGATTAGTTAAAGAGCTGACAGTCCTCACTATAATCGTTAAAAAAGAAAGATAATGTAACAGGAATATGCTGAAAATTTCAGTCAAATTACTCCACTATGAACCAAGAAATGCTTATTTCAAAAACACTGTCGCCTCGATTGTCATTGTTACCATTTTTACGGTTAATCATGAACAGCTGTTGAACTGCAGATCAAATTCAAATCTAATGAAAATTGGACCCATCAGATGGCATCGAGAGTTGATTATGGTCTTGTCATGTTAATAAACATCTAATTAATAATTTAGATAACATTTCAGGCCTAAAGAACGACCTGCAATAGGCAGATTTAGCTCTTGCATAATGTATGTTTAATGGATGTCATCATGGCTCTAGATTTAAATCACATCAAATAAATTCAACAAAAGGCCTCATTTCTTATGGAAGACCAGTTGACCAGTAGGGATATATGGATAATCAAGACTTTGTTTATTAATATCGTAACTATGGTAGCATGGAAAATTAAGACTTCACTATTCCTCAAGCAGTCATAAATTCACTCAGAATGAAGTAATTTGACTGAAATTTTCAATATATTCCTTTTTCATTGCCTATTAATGTATTATTAAACTATTAAAGTGAGAACTGAATGTCAGCTCTTTATCTAAATATTACAAAATGCCAACTTAAATCATTATACAAATAATATAATAAATACACTACACCCCACCTCCTTAAGACATTCAATTTGAGGTCTCCCTTGTAGGTGTAGGTCAAGAAAATTCATTGTGATTTTCCGGCATGATTTCCCCTCGTCAGTGGTGCAGGACGAAGGGCCTATCAAGGACACCTGTCTAGTCGTTTGGATGGGATGAAAACCAAGGTCCCGTGTACACATTGACATGCATGTAAAAGATCTCTTGGCAGTTGGAATTCGATTATAAGAGTAGGCCATAGTCCCTCATAGCCACTGTCTTCATTGGCCTAGTTGGAGCAGAACAGTAGGATGTTGAACACTATTTCATTTCATTTCATCTCATGTCTCCCTTGTAACTAAAAATATTAATTCTATCCTGTATTATATATCATTAATCTGAATCAACCACTGCCTACGCAAACATTAACTGGACAAATCTGTGAATTTTCAATAAATTTCATTTTTCCAGCCATTATATTGAAAATTGATAAAAAATAAGGTAAAATATTGTAACTGTTATCACTAGTGTCAATATAGATTTATTTTAGTCTTAGGTCACTGCAATAACGGTGGGTTGTATATACATTTGTAAATATGTTGCATACCACTGTTGGCACACTGCCAGTGGGATACCTCTCCAATTGGCGCCAAATGTGCAGACCTATAGTCTTTTGGGGGTTTATGTGCTTGTTGTCTCTCATTCTTTTCAATACAAATTTCATTCTCTAAGATGTCTTCAACACTGCCAGGTGGGATGGAGGGGGAGAATCTAACAGTTATTTTTTTTCAAACCAAGAACTTAGCAAAAATTGTTTTTTAGGTAAGGGAACAATTAGATGTTCTAATGTTTGTCCTCTGCAACATGTAGCCATAAAGATCATTGAATGAAAAAAGAAAAACCCAACAAGTTGATAATGTGCAAGAACTAGATTCTTTTCATGTCAGTTCTTCAATGTAAGTGGTCTAATGTAAGTGTGCTAGCCAGCTGTTGATATTTTGATTAATCTGCCTTGTTTGTAAATTTGTGTTTTTTTACCATCTCACTTACATACAAACATTAAGAAACCATGTTAATATATTTTTCTAACAATAAACACAAATATTTACATGACTGGAGATAAATTTAACTATATATATACATACATAAATATAAATCTAAATTCAGTTTGGTTGGAAATGCTTTTAACATCAATTTTAAGTTAGGAGTGATAACTTTAACCATATGTTAGTTAATGCTAGATTTTTCCAATAGGTTTTCCAAGAAATAGAAGTCATTATAACCTCAGGATTAGTGTAATGCTATAGATACATAGCACCATTTTAATTCAATGGTTATGATGTATGAAATTTGCTTTCATTTCCACGAATTCAAACTGCCTGGGATCTCTTTTTGCATGACCTTTTGATTTTTATCGTGGGCCGAGTTCACAAAGCGTTTTCAGATTTAAGTTAAGAATTTACTCAACTTCCAATCACTGTTTATGAGGAATATCTTTGATCCAGAAACAAATGAAATGAAATGGGGTTTAACGTCCTACTGTTCTGCTCCTAACATGGGCTAATGAAGACGGGCATACGCCATACAGTGTGCTATGAGGGAAATTTTGCCCGGACAGCGGTACTACGGCCTACTCTTATATCAAATTCAAACTGTCAAGGGATCTTTTCGTCCCATCCGAATGACTAGAGAGCTGTCCTTGTCAGGCCCACCGTCCTGCATCACTGACAAGGGGGAAACGATCCAGAAACAAAACTTTGCACATAGTTTCTTATTGATGTATTTGATACATTAAAACAACAAAAGTTTTATAAATTTTAGTTATATTATGGCGAACAATTTTTAGTAAATTCTTAACTTAAAGGAGCTAAATCGCTAATATCTTGGATCTAGAAATTGAAAAAAATGGGTCGCAACGTATATAATAATGTAATGTGAATGCATATAAACTGATTTACATCCAATCGTTTCTGTTTTTACTGCAATTTCTAATCACTTATATTCGGCGAAATACGCCAGAAGTCTCAATCCAATGGCAATCTCTAGCGTCTGGTTATTCCACTCTATACTGATAGTATTTATTGCGCATGCTCTCCAGATAAGAATATAACGTCACTGTTTGACATGACTTGTGGAATATATCTAGCCTCTTTCTACGAGTCCCTTGTTAAAAATGGCGCTGAAATGCACCATGGTACACGATTCGTGTACCAATAGTAAAATGTTTATTTTGTCTTAATTATTGGATATCAGAAGCCCATCTTTTCCCCGTAAGATCACAACATCAATGTTGATTTAAATTGACAAATAATTCATGTTTTCAATGTCGAAGATTTTGGATGATATTGAGTTAGAGACTTAGCTACTTTAAGTCTGAGAATATTTTGTGAACTCGTCTGTTTCTTTATGATCTGTTGTGGTGGGATGAACAAAAGGATACTTTAGTGTCAGCTTTATGGAAGTGGAATGTGTTCTGTTTTTATTAATTGTGATATTGAACTACAAATTATCAAAATTATATATTTTTTATAGGGTAAGACGCTGGCTTGCTAGCCTGGAGGTTTGGTGTTCGATCCCTGCATTGGCCGAGAAAGTTCATCCAGATGTTCCAGCGTGGTTTCCCCTTGTCAGTGATGCAGGACGGAGGGCCTGACAAGGACAACTGTCTATTCGTTCGGATGGGCCGAAAAACCGAGGTCCCATGTACACATTGGCGTGCACGTAAAAGATTCCTTGGCAGTTGGAATTCGATATAAGAGTAGGCTGTAGAGCCGCTGCCCGGGCAAAATTTCCCTCATAGCACACTGTATGGCATATGCCCGTCTTCATTAGCCCAGTTTAGGAGCAGAACAGTAGGACGTTAAACCCCATTTCATTTCATTTCATATTTTTTATATTGTGGTCATGTTTAGAATATACAGTATAAAAACTCATCAGTCTGAAAACAATCTGATTAAAACACAGATCCTATTTCGCTTTGTTTTTTATAGTTCAAAATTTCGTTTTACATGTCTTTACTACAATAGGATCTGGAAGAGTTGTTTTATAACCCACGTTCTGGATGATGTGAGGGATTAGCCAATGAAACAGTCTGTTATGCAATTTTTTGGCGTAAGGCGCACAGAACTTTGGGTAAACCACTAGAAATGTCAACGCTGATTGGTTAATCAATGTCTGACGTTATAATGTCATAAGCCGCTCATGACACCTGACGCGACCTCCCACTACAACTGGTCAGATCTTTATGTGGTAGAGGCCGTCGAAATTATAAAAAAAAAACGAAACAAAGTATAGATCTGTATTTTAATTAGATGGGTCTGAAAGTTGGAGTTGGATCTGAACATATTTCCTATAATTTTGAGACTCACATCAGGTTATTGTTCTAATTTGGTGATTTACACAATGCTAGGAAAGAAATGCTTGCTGTCAACATTGTTTTAAAATTCCAGCTGTCAAATACATTCACTTATGTGCATGGTAATATGCTGACCTTCGTCTTTCATCACATCTGCATGACATGGCAACACTTTCCTTGTCCGCCCTTCAAACACTACCTCTGGCTGGTAGGGAACTGAGTTTGAAGAATTCAAAAGGCTCTTCTCAGATTCATATGCTAGACTTTCTTGTTAATACTAGGTTCCCACTATCGTGCGATGCGTTACGATAGAATTGTACCTATTGAGTTCATGATTTGCTACGTGGGAAATCTGTTTGGATACGTTTCGATACAGTCAACACGATTGCTACGACTGACCTCAATATATGATAAGACCTGATAGGATCACCACAATTAAAACCACGATTTCAATCGTAGCACGAATCATGAGAGAGAGAGAGAGAGAGAGAGAGAGAGAGAGAGAGAGAGAAATGGGGTTTAACGTCCACTCGACACAAACTAGTTCATTTCGGGACTAACATATGGTTTAATTTTATTTCAATAATTCGCTTGCGCGTAGGGGTCTTTAGCAGTGAAAGGAAACCGGAGAACCCGGAGAAAACCCACAAGGTTGGACAGGTGACCCTACTCCTTGTCACGTACAACCGGGGATTCGAAACCACGCCAGTGACTCAATGACAGGTCGTATGATACAGCACGCACGTGCTAACCATTCGGCCATCCAACCCCCCGCACGAATCATGATATTGGGAAACTAGCATAACAGTCTAATATGGTCTCCCTTATAACAGGTTGAAATAATGCATGGTAAAAACATTTGAGTATTTTTTTGAGAACTTGTGCAATGGTGTGTGATAATGTGAAAGTGATAGATTGACAATTATATAATAATTTACCTTCAACTGTTTAGTGATGGCCTCCCATCTCTGATTTAGATGTGTTAATTCAGGTTCCACCATTTTGTTATACTGTTCACTTTTACTCATTAAAACAATAGCATTATCTCGTACTTCATCAACGGTACTCTTTAAATTATTCATTTCACTTTGTAGATTCTGAATAAAAAAAATTGCATGAACAAGTTAATAAAATGTGCAGATCCCTTTTCCAAAATATTTAGAAGCATTTCTTAAAAATTCCTTACACTACCCGGTATTTTAAACAACATTACTAAATCAATTCGGCTCTGTTATTATTCAAAGACAACTAAATGGTTTTCCTCCAACATGGCATCTCATTGGAATAGATTTAATGTTTGATATCATTTGAATTGCTTAATAGTTTCATTAAATAAAACTAACTTTGATTTTGTCTATTTGTGGTTGTGACATCCGTTCTTCAAGAGGTAATTTTTCGTAAGCAGCTGTGGTTATATCACAAACTATCATCCAGTCTTTAACCTGCATCATCTGTGTTTGAAATTCTATAAATACACCATCTAACTTTGTTTCTTCTTCCTAAAAATTTATTAAAGAGAACAAAGACAATGATAATAATGGAACTGGAGAAATATTGCACAACTGACCATCTTAGAGACAAGTCTACTTTTTGACACCAAAAATCATCGGAATTGTAAAGGGTACTAGATTCAAGAACATTCTTTAATTAAATTAACCTCAAACCCTCTAATAGTAAATATACAAGATAAACCTGCGGACAAGACAGAAAATAGACATTGCACCAAATAAACAAATATCAAATCAAGTGAATGGATCCGGGGGCCAGCCATTAGCATCCACTGCGCTGTACAGGCCCGGGCCTGTAGTGACACAGACTTCACTCAAATTTGAAAACAATCAAGAATACAAAAAAGACGTAACAGAAATAATGCGACCGATCTTGACAGTGGTCGTCTCCTCAATGGCGATAGTCTGCCAGTTGACGTCATGAGTTAGAACGGGTCAACAGACTTAATACACGATCACATATGTTTTCGATACTGGCAGAACAGTGACATGACACAATTCCATATCACACTGTCAATTCGGTGGTCCCAGGTAACAATTGAGCACCCCCCAAACAGACAGTTTGGTGACCAGCTTTGCAAAACTTTAGACCATTTGACCACCAAACTACCTTAAAGACAACCCTACAATCTTACGTTACATGCAGACTTTAGGCCCCTTGGCAAAAAAACATTTGAATGAAAATCCTATCTGATTTTAAGTGCTGAATTCTTGTCCTGTTTTGCCTAATCTAATATATGTATAATATAATATATTAACCTGTACTTGTTCCTTCCAGTGAGCTACATGTATAGAGAGAGCTGACCAGTCCATATTTAACTTAGTTACTAAATCAACAGCTGAATTAATCTCCTCCTCATCAACAACAATTAGTTTTAATGTCTGTAAACTATCACCAATGGATGTTAATAAGCCTTGTCTTTTTAACATTTCTGTTTCTATCACCTTAAACATGATACAAAATCGTCAAAACAATTAATGCAGTTACATGAAATTTCTTCTTCACAATATGGTCAAACAAATTATTACCTGAAATGTTTTGGTTTTTTTTAGTTTTGAGTTGACTAAAATGGTACATAAAGTTACCATGAATTGGTTTAATGTTATAAAACTTGGGCTCTAGCATACCAACCCTTACTCTGTACATGTACTTTATGTTTGTAAACATGAATTGCGTGTGAGTGAGAAGTCATTTGGCCACCCTTGTGACTGACTGGATAGCATGTGCATATGCTGTGCACTGACTTTCACAGGTTTGATTCCTGGAAGGGGCTATTTATACCTGTCATCTAAATAATATACTAATATACTAAATATTGCCATTTGTTTCTCAATATAAACTGTTTACATACATACCCTGATGTTCTCCAGTTCTTTATCAATTTGAAAGGTTTTCTGTTTTTCTTTATGATCTAAATCATTGGTTGTAACTGTTATAAAATCTTTAACTATGTCATATTCCTTCTTAAACTTCTTCGCTACCTTTAGACCTTTCTCTAGGTTAGACTTTCCTTCTGTAACCTGTACACAGATATAAATGAATGACCATCATGATACTATATTATCATTATCAATAGTGTATACTAAAACTCAATAGGTATTAATTTAATTTAAAAACATCTGAGACAGTGTTTAAAATGCTTGCTTGCAGCTACAATAAATGTAATGATGATGGTTCCATATTTTGAATGTGGAATGTATTATCCTCGAGTTGCAATTAGTGATTGAGCATAATAAAGACACAACACAGTTTATATAGAAAACAATCACTGGTTTATACACATATAGCATGATATTTTGACAAGTGCACTCTTATCGTTTTCAAGCACAAGTTGGGTTTTTAATGACAATTTAGTGCAAATTACTTTTTAAAATCCAGGGAAAATTTGGTATGACTGATTTCACTTTAATCATTCCTGTTTGTGTTACTAAAACTAAATCTACCTGTTTGCCCAAGTCATTATATTGTTGTTTTATGGCATCAAGCTGTTCATTCAATTTATCAGGAAAATCCACTTGTTTTCTATCTACAACATGACGTCCAGTTTTTATAACATACTCCACTTCAGGCTTTAATTCACTCATAGCCGTATAAAATTTCTGTAAAGAAAATTCAGTGTTACAGGAATTCTCATTTTAGGTGTTTCTTAACATGACTAGATTGTATGTTGTATGTTGATTACTTTTGTGGGATCACAATCTCTCTTTGTTGAAAACGTTATATCTGTAGATAAAGCCAGTATTGAAATACGACAAATTGTGTGTTTTCCTGTCCAAACAGTCAGTCAAAAATGAAAAAAGCAAATTAATTGTGTAGAGTTGGCTCCATCACTAAACAAAATAACACATCAGATCAATCCAATTTATTAAAGAGACTTGTCTTCTTTAAGTCCTTTATTTACATATTTTTCTTAATTATTAAACAGAAACGGTTCAATTAAACAGCTCATTATCATAGAGAGAGAGAAATGGGGTTTAACGTCCACTCGACACAAACTAGTTCATTTCGGGACTAACATATGGTTCAATTTTATTTCAATAATTCGCTTGTGCATAGGGGTCTTTAGCAGTGGGAGGAAACCAGAGGACCTTGAGAAAACCCACGAGGTTAGACTGGCGACCCTACTCCTTGTCACGTACAACTGGGGGATGGAAACCATGCCAGTTGACTCAATGACAGACCTTATAATACAACATGCACGCACTAACCATCCAACACCCCCATTATCATAGAATAAAAATAAGTGCATTAGGGCCTATACTAAAATTCCTACCATGCATTGTTCATGACGTTCCACTATGTCCACAGGGTTACAGCTAGGCACTTCAAACATATGAGATCGATCTTGTATGCTATCCATCTCTCTCTTTACATGACTTAATTTAGGATCAAAATCCGTTGGTCGTTGATATTTGCAAAATTTCTTTGATACCTCAATGAAATGTTTCTAAAAAAAAAAGGTAAATTTCATTGCTATTATAATAAATACCATACAGAATAATAATGTGACTAGAAATATATCTAAAAGAAATGAACATCGACAAATTGGCTACACATACAATTCTGTCATTACATTATGTGGTGTAAGGGGAGACAAAAGGTAAATGAAGAGTTATCTCCCATGTATATGGTAGATCTGTGGATTTAAGTGAAGTTAAAGCTGAAGAAGGTTTGGTGATGTTATATACATGTAAAAAATGTCTCTAAGGGTCCTATTCATGAGCAATAATTAGCTGATATGTTTGTATTCTGCACGACAGTCTCATTAAGGAGTATTTCAAATGTCTAAACCAGGAACTGCTATAAAGAGTGTAAAAAAATTGATTTGCACAACTGTTTGTAGTCCTTAAAACCTTTCACCCCGTTCATAAAGTGTTTACTTAGTCAATATTTAATATGTGTGTAGAGTCATAGACTTAAAAAGTAATCAGATTAAATTATCGAAAAGATAATGATGAATGGTTTTGTCACTATTACAGTTGTTTCTGTAAATATTATATTTTGAGACTCTTATCAATGACATCTGTTAATAAGCTTTTATTGTAATTTATGTTAACAGGCTTTTCACTACAGAAACTGATCACTTTCCTAACATATTTATAACAGTGGTGTTTACCCCATACGTAGGCAAATGAAAACATTATACTGAGAACTTGAAATACACATACTTTAAGGAGTTGTGTTTGCTGTTCTAATCTGACACTGGCATCCTCTTTACCCTTGAGACGATACTCCTTTGCACTTTCTTCCAGCTGTTTTAAAAACATTTCTTGCTGTTTAAATTCATTCTTCAAAGTCTATGAATAAAACAAAATTGAATTAATCGTAGTGTCATATTAATCCAAAAAACAACTGAAAAATCAAATAAATTACATTTAGCTATCTGTAACTGTATTTTAAACAGGAACACATTTTGCCAACAGTTCACTAACAATAGCCCTTTCTCTCATTAAATTCCACGTCCATCTATAAAGGTAATTCTAAACTCTGTTTATAGTCCTGTTCAAATATCACTGTTGTTTGGGTTTAACAGTTTTGGATCCAGTTCGATATTTGGAACTAGTGTTGGCACTCAGACTCAGAGTTTGGTGTCCATGTTTCATTATGCCATTGACTAAACACTTATTGAATGATCTTTGAAAAAGTTTTCTTATCCTTAGATTTAGCATATCAGGGGAAGTCCCTAAATTCATTACCTATACAGGCCAACATACCTCAAATTCAGCAGGATTATCACCAGCTAGTATATCAGCATCAAGTCGAACCTGTAGATGATCGGATATTTCTGACATCCATTGTGTCATTTCTAACATCTGACGTTCTATTGATTGAGCTTTGTTGATATTTTCTTCTAATATTTTCATCTTTTCTGTTGCCTACAAATCATTTCAATATCCTATGTAACCAATCTGCTTATTTATTTATAAAACTAAATATCAAAATATAAAAGCTCTGTCGCTTTGTGGTATAATTTAAATACAATTTTGCTGTAGTTTTATATTTAAACCACTGAAATCCAAGTCTAAACTATTGCTAAATTTAGCACATAGAGAGAGAAATGGGTTTTAACGTCCACACGACACCAAGTAGGTAATTTCGGGATGAACATATGGTTCAATTTTATTTTATTGTGCATAGGCGTCTTTAGCAGTGGGAGGAAACAAGAGGACCAGGAGAATGCCCACGAGGTTGGACAGGTGACACTACTCCTTGTCACGTACAACCGGGGAATGAAAACCACACTAGTTGACTCAATGACAGACCTTATGATACAACATGCACATGTTAACCATTCGGCCATCCAACCCCCTCAATTTAGAACAAGGTAAGGTATGCTTTTTTTCTATGATCACCCTTCTCACTTGCAGACTGAGGGTGTGTGTGTCATGACAAGGAGTAGGGTCCTCAGCCTAACCTCATAGGTTTTCTCTGATTTCTCTAATATCCTTGCACAGCACACAAAATAATAATAACTTATGTTAGTCCTGATATAATTTCTGTTGATAGTGATAGGATATTAAATGTAATTACTCAATCTCTTTTCAGTTGAGGAGCTCACATTCTTGTGGTCATTAAAATCAAAATATAAAAAATCCTGTCTTACCTCTTTTTCAAGATAATCAGATCGTTCAATATATTCACCATATTCATTTTTAACAGTATCAGCCATGATAGAATTAGTGATTAAATCATTGGCTAGATCTTTCATCTTATTTTTATTTGTTGTATCATGATTTCTCATCACTGTTTCTAAAGCCTGTAAATAATTACATAGAATAATGTTTATATTTTTCATTTGAGGAGTTCACTTCGTTAACAGAGTCTAGTTTCACTAAATTAAGTTTGTTTTAGCCAATCAGTTTCAGATTAAAATTTACAATCAGTCATTGACAATAGCAGACACCCATAATAAAAATATTGGATATTTTTATTTGTGTCCAAAGGTTAATTTCTTTATGCTAAGTTCCGACTATCACGATTTGTGCTACAACTGAAATAGTGATTTTGATCGAGGAGTAATTGTGGTGATCCTATCAGGTCTTATCATATATTGAGGTCCGTCATAGCACTTGTGTTGATCATATCGACACGTATCCGAATCGTATCTGCAGGTACCAAATCATAGACTCAATAGGGACAATCCTGTCATAAATCATCGCACGACAGTGGGATCCTAGCAGTAGGCATATACAAGGGTTTCAGTAGAACACTGATGTTGTGGACTAATGGCTCAACCTATATTGCAGAAAAAAAAACTTATTTATACCAAGGAGCGTCACCTTTATATTGAAACCCATATTCTAGTCAACCCCATGTCATTATAATGAGGTCTTAGTGTAAATATTCAAACTTACATCTAATTCTTCTGAAATATCTTCAGCATCAGAACTAGCCAGTGAGTTTTTATACAGTAATTTTTCTAATGTTTGATTATAATCCTGTTCTTGTTCCATAAGGTCTACAAATAAAATGTGTTGAAGGATACACTAATAAATATGTTAATTATTTTATAAAGAGAGTTTTAAAATCATCAAAAATAGTCACGTAAAGCATGGAAATAAGCCCACACAGCAGCTTTGTCTAAACAGGGGGTTATCCGAATGGAAAACTTGGATGGTGAACAAATTTAATAAGGATATTGGATCCTTCAAGCAATCTAATCTCTGTTCACAAGCTTTAACGGACAAATAATATATCTCTTAAACAGATAATCTTAGATTGGTGAACACCAACAGTGTTCATCCTTCCTAATTCTTCAATAGTGTTAATCGTCTCACAGTCCTAATGCTTCACACAGAATTTGATTAAAAATCTACTAAAAATGCATAACACACTAACAAGTATTCTGAAAAGGAGGTTGTGTGTCCTGAACGGAAGATCGCTGAACACTGAATATCGATATGGTTCATATCCTCTCATGACTGTAACTCTTCAAACCAAATTCGAAATAAATCTGTTAAAAACTGAAGTCACTATCGTGTTAACAAGATTTTCGGAGAAAGGGGAGTAACTCTATTGTGTTAACCTGTAGCCTCTATTGCATTATGAGCCAAATGTTGACAAACAGACCAACAAACATAGGTGACGACATAATACACTTAAATGTGAGCATATAAAAAGGTAATGCATATTCACATATTTACCTTTAAACTGTCTCCACTGATTCTCAGCCGTTTCATAAATAGTTGAATATCTGTCAACTCTCTGATGTACATCTTTCCATATTGTATTTAACTTCATCTGTGATCTAGCTAGTTCTTGTAGAGATCCTGGAGTTGCTTTATTTAAACTAGTTTTAGCCTCATCATTCAATCTAACTACTTCCTCTTCTCTCTCTGATATTTCTTTCTTTAAACTCTTAAATAATGAAAATATAAGTGGTCATATACTATGGGTTCTAACTCGGACATATAAGTCGGTCATGACCGCTTGTGTTAAAAATTGACCAACATGTCCCAGAAACCATCAGTCAATTTACACGCCGTTAAACTACAACATTTTTTAAACCTCCATTATCCAACATGGCTATGACCGACCTCTGCTGTGTAACTTTAAAATTAAAGTTTTATACACTGTAACCCGGGTATTATTTAATCTTGCGTATCTAGCACTAAATTCTTTCACATTCATTCAATATCAAATCTTTGTTTAAAATTTTTTAAAAATCGTTTAAAATCACCCCAAATCATCTAATTTGTACTTGTGTCCAGTTTAAAGCTGAACATTCAATTTTGATAATGAGTGTTCAATTTACAAGCCTTTAATTTCGTGATCACTGTTCAAAGATTAAACATTATACATCAATAATCAATTGGGTTGTTTATTTGTTTAGTTTTAAATCAACCTCTCAGAGACCTCTATTTGGATTTAATTATAGGGGCACCTTGATTCTGAGTCTAGACTTCCCAAATAAACAAGTGACATGAAATCAAGACTGTCACATTCCTTCCAGTTCTGATAAGTAGAATCAAGATGTAATCATCAATCTTATCCAAAACCGGCTTTGGATAAGATATTTTATCTGTTTACTTGGTGTAATGAACCAGACACATGCCTTGTCAACTGTTTACACAAGACAATTTAATTCCATGGCTACATGTATGTATAAATGTAATGAGTCTTATCTATCTATATATATATTTGTGACTGTCGTTTGTCTATCTGTCTGTCTGTCTGTCTGTCTGTTCGGGGTTGGCGGCTACACTAGGTCTGCCCCGAGTCTGAAATTTGGGGTATAGGGGTAGCTCGGACCGGGGAGTAACATAGGCCAGGTGGCGTTAGTCTAACACTTCCGGTTTCGGAGTTATGACCCCCGAGCGAAGCCGGTCTGTTCGGGGTTGGCGGCTACATCTGCCCCGAGTCTGAAATTTGGGGTATAGGGGTAGCTCGGACCCGGGAGTAACATAGGCCAGGTGGCGTTAGTCTACCACTTCCGGTTTCGGAGTTATGATCCCCGAGCGAAGCCGTTCTGTTCGGGGTTGGCGGCTACACTAGGTCTGCCCCGAGTCTGAAATTTGGGGTATAGGGGTAGCTCGGACCGGGGAGTAACATAGGCCAGGTAGCGTTAGTCTACCACTTCCGATTTCGGAGTTATGATCCCCGAGCGAAGCCGGTCTGTTCGGGGTTGGCGGCTACACTAGGTCTGCCCCGAGTCTGAATTTTGGGGTATAGGGGTAGCTCAGACCGGGAAGTAACATAGGCCAGGTGGCATTAGTCTACCACTTCCGGTTTCGGAGTTATGACCCCCGAGCGAAGTCGGTCTGTTCGGGGTTGGCGGCTACACTAGGTCTGCCCTGAGTCTGAAATTTGGGGTATAGGGGTAGCTCGGACCGGGGAGTAACATAGGCCAGGTGGCGTTAGTCTACCACTTCCGGTTTCGGTGTTATGATCCCCGAGTGAAGCCGGTCTGTTCGGGGTTGGCGGCTACACTAGGTCTGCCCCGAGTCTGAAATTTGGGGTATAGGGGTAGCTCGGACCGGGGAGTAACATAGGCCAGGTGACGTTAGTCTACCACTTCCTGTTTCGGAGTTATGACCCCCGAGCGAAGCCGGGTATCCTGCTAGTACTGTTAATAAAGAAAATAACAGAAAAGACAAATATAGCAACACATACCTTAAATCGCTTTGTTTTTACTAACAAGTCATTAGCATTTTGAACAGCATAATCTTTATTAGATAATTCTTCTTTAAGATCTTCCAGCCATTTTGTTAATGTTTCCATTCGGTCGTACATATTCTTACTGGTTTCTATGGAGGATTTCAAGCGGTCATTTTGTTCTTTGGCTAACTTGGTTACTTCTTCCCATTTAATATTAATACCTTCAACTTCTTTCTTCATATCTTTAGTAAAACTACTGTCTGTAGCTTCTGATAGTGATTGACATAAAGAATTGATGTTCTTAATGTTTTGCTTTAAAGTTACAATGTCTTCCATAACACCCTGTAAATAATTAGTGGATTTGTATAGAGGTATAAAGAAGATAAAAGGAGTTTTATTTATTTATTTTTTTTGTGATAAAGATTTGATAAAAAAAACTTTGATCTAGGCCAGAAATAAATATATTCATGTCTGGTGTTATTAAATATTATGCCATAATTCTGCTTCTAAACACGGACAGGAACAACGGTGGCTCAGTGGGAAAGATGTTGGCTTGCTAACTTTGAGGTCCTGGCAAGGGACAACGTATAGTAATTCGGATAGGACGAAAACATGTGGCGTACACATAAAAGAACCCTTGACAGTTGGAATCTGAAATAAGAGTAGGCCACAGCGCCATAGCACACTGCATGGCGTATGCCCGTCTTCATTTCATTTCTAAACAAGGACTGTGTGGTATATATTGTATTCTAATAATAGAATGATTAAGTTATGTATATGCTTTTGAAACTAACATGTCTTAGTGTTAATAACAGAATATAATTTTGCCTGGGTACATCCATTTTAAATCACTTCTTAGCATTTTAAAAATTAAATTCATATGGAATTAGTTATACTTGTATCATTTCCCAATAATTGATCTGGCCTTGAGTTCACAAAGTATTCTCAGATTTAAGTTAAGAATTTACTCAACTTTCGAACACTGTTTATGAGAAATATCTTTGATCCAGACACTCTTATTGATGTATTTGAAACATTAAAACAACCAACGTTGTATGAAGACTACATTTTATTTAAAATAACATGAACAATTTTGAGTATTCTTAACTTAAAGATACATTATGGGAGATTCGATAACGAGTTGGCAGTTCTCACTATAATAGTTACAAACTAGATAATATAAAGGCAATTTGCTGAAAATTTCATTCAAATTGATCCACTATGAGCCGAGAACTAAGTGGTTGGAATTTCCGCCTAGCTTCGATCGTCATTACTAAAGTCAGTACGATAAACAGCATAGTCTCGATTATCCATTTAATCGATAAATTGAGAAGGAAAGTTATGCAGTAAATCAGCTCATAATCCAGTAAAGATCGCAGGCTAGCATAACCATCTAGAGTTGATTATGGTCTAATTAATAATTTAGATAACATTTCAGGCCTAAAGAATGATCTGCAATAATCAGATTTAACTCTTGCATAATGTATGGTTAAATCTGAGAATGCTTTGTGAACTCAGGGGCCTGTTCTTTTTTTTTTTTTGAATAAAAATAAACTATAAATCTATCTTACATTACTCTCTGTTAGTTGTGCTTCTAATGTTGGAAGATCTCCGATTTGTGGATCTTCAGCATGAAGGAATATGTCCATTTCATCCATCCAACATGTTAACCCTTGTTGCTGATTCTGAAAATTAACATACAAAAAGAAAAATTATTGACATTTGTCCATATTGCTTGGAAAAAACATAATGGCTAGTGGCAACTCATACACAGTTCAATACCAGGTAAATACATTTCAACTTAATAATTATGTTACTTTTGTTAATTAAAAATTACCTTATCATAATAATATAAACTTATTATGTGTATGTTCACTATGGGCTCCTAGTATCCTATCATGGCTTTCCTCAGTTACAATTAAATTCTTACTGAATAAATATTTTATAAATTAAAAGATGGAAATTAATTCTGATGCTTGGTTTATTTGATAAGTAGTACCTTATATAGACGTAATTGAGCAAGATATGTTTCTAATTGACCATGTCGTTCTGTTATTGTAGAGGATATATTTTCCCAGTGTGAATTTAGATTATCTAAATCTTTATTTATTGTGACCACTTGTTCAGGAGAGTTTTGCATCAGTTCTGTACCAGTTTGTCTTATATAGTTTATACTAGTCTGATGATCACTGACGTCACTCTGTAGTTCCTAAAAATAACATAAAGACATAGGAAATGAACGTGGCTTTGGTATGGGTACGGCAATGGTTTCAGCCCATTAACCACTTTAATTTTGTTCCATACCCTTAAAAATATTTTGCATGTCAATAACATAATGGAATCTGGATTGAAAATCCTTCGAGTATTCAAATAGCTGACTTGCTCTTTGTAAAAATCGGGCTACATGACAACAGTTCCACTATAAGTATTATTCCTGAATTCTGTTCAAAACCAATTAATAAATCATAAAAATTTCAATCTTAATTTTTACAAGAACATGATCACCCATTCAACTTTGAATTGATAAAATTCTTACCTTGTACTGACTCAACTGTTTCTCCATAGATTCAACATCCGTTACCTTAACTTTTTCCGATTTAAGAATATTTTCCATGTCACAGATCCATTTTAACAGGGCTTGCATGGCATCAAGGTATGACTTTGGTGGTACTTTCTGCATCGCTTCTTGTAGTTTCTTTTGTCGTATACCTGCAAAATATTATAAAACAGATATTAAACAGCTGTTTACTTGTTTTTGTATATAAACCTTCTGTACATTATTTTAATTATTTGTTTGAAAACGTTGAGAACCCTCAACGAAACGTCGCTTTAATTAAAATATTAATTGTGTTCCATATTATGTTTTTGTGTTTATTACGTATGTCAATTGCTAAATGCCACTCAAAGAAGATATTAAACATTGATTATTTCTAAAGATTACCTATTTATAGTCAATCACTTGAAGTGTTATTAATCTGAATCAATATTTGTGCAGTGCTCAATTTGATATGTACGTTTGTTTGTGATTTCTGCGTATTGTGTAAATTATGTGCAGTGCAGCCCCCCTGCACTTACTATGAATGTAGCGCTATAGAAGATAATCCATTATAATAATAACAGAAATAATAATTTTCTAGAGCGCTGAACATTCAGTCAGTTTGACTGTTTTGTGTCACTTTACAAAGGATATAACATAGACAACAACAAGCACAAGTAAACAAACAATACAAAAATTTGACATGCTCCGTATAACAAATTTAATTTTGATAATGAATTCGAAAATACTCTGTTTTGAAATGTTTCTTGAAGGTAGATATAGTTATAATAATAAGGCATAAGGGATATCTTATTAAAAATATGTCAGAAACTACTTACCCATTTTTCGATACAGATCTCTCCATTTTATAATAAATTCATCAAAATCTTCCTGTACTTTTGAATTTTTTCCCCCACTGTCATTCATTATTCTTTTAACATCAGCATCAGATTTCTCTATTCGACTTTCATGTGTTTTCATTGCCTTTAATTTAACCTTTAGAAAGAAAATATTTTAAAATATATTTTTAAACATTTCTCAACATGCTTTACCATACATATTATTTTATCTCCCTTGTTCAAGATTTATTTTAACATATAGAAAGTTAACTGATGATTAAAAACTGAAAAACATCTGTAAAACAACCTAAAGTATATAACATAGAGAGGAGCTAAATATTTAGAATTTAGACCAGGGAACGGATGTACTCTACGAAGCTGCAAACCCCACATCAAACCCGTCCAAAAAATGCAAGAATATAATATCTGTAAATATCTTACATTGGTTTGTTCTAGTTGTTTTGGAATTTCTGAGGCTTCATCAGCATTGATCGTAGAGGCACTTAACCATTTGTCATAACCGGATAATAATTCTTGTAAGGCACTTAATTCCATGTAGAATTTATTTGTTTCAATGTTCAAGTGAATTATGGTCTTTGCCTTCTTCAGCAATGTCTTCAGATTTTTCTGATCTTCTTTGATCTTTTTACGAGAAGATTCAATATTATTAGTTGATTTCTCAGCTGAAAAAATAGAATCACACAAGCAGGTATATAGATAAATCTTTTTAAATATTTCAATAAGAAATTCAAATACATTAATTGCACAGATGGGATATATTATTCGTGTGCTTGTTATACTACTACTTTAAAGTATGACATAATTAAAAGAGGGGGTTCTAGGTTACAGCATTAAATTATATATAACGTGTAAATCTATATATGCTGATAAAGGTCTACCTCTTTTTAATTCATTAACAGCAGCATCAGCCAGTGACAATATATTCTGATATTCTGTATTGTGATCTTCTATATCCTTTTCACAATCCTGCAAAGAACATTTAAAAAACACCAGATACATGAAAAGTTTATAAATGTAAAGGAGTTTATTTGTGTGGCTGAACTGAATTTAAATTAGAGAAAAAGAAAAAATAATCCAATTATAATTTTAAAAAGTAGTTAAACACATGACTTCCTTTTCATTTTTATTAATTACTAGTGAAGTCAGTACAACTCTAATGACAAAATTTCCTACTTGTAACAAGACAAGAGAGAGAGAGAAATGGGGTTTAACGTCCACTCGACACAAACTAGGTCATTTCGGGACTAACATATGGTTTTAATTTCATTTACATAATTCGCTTGCGCGTAGGGGTCTTTAGCAGTTGGAGGAAACCGGAGGACCCGGAGAAAACCCACGTGGTTGGACAGGCGACCCTACTCCTTGTCACGTACAACCAAGGATTGTAACAAGACAAGCTACATGAAAAGTTTATAAATGTAAAGGAGTTTATTTGTGTGGCTGAACTGAATTTAAATTAGAGAAAAAGAAAAAATAATCCAATTATAATTTTAAAAAGTAGTTAAACCCACGACTTCCTTTCCATTTTTATTAATTATTAGTGAAGTCAGTGAAACTCTAATGACAAAATTTCCTACCTGTAGCAAGACAAGTTTTTCGTCATCAGTAAATTGTTCATCAGCATCCGTATTGGCAGGTGATGATAATAACTGTAATGTATCTTCTGTTCTATTAAACCAATCATACCATTTCTTCTCTTTAACTTGAAACTCAGTAACTGTCTTTAATTCAACAGGTGCATTCTGCAGTTTAGATGTTTTACTACGGGACACATCAAATTCTAGAAAATCTTCTGAATCTAAATCTTTCGACAATTCAACTCCAGAATTGGCAATCTGAAAGATGCATAATATGTATTAGAGTTAATACAACTAAGTTGTTTAGAATTACTGTTCCACACACAGGAAAATGTTTTTAAAATATGTGCTTGATATTGAATCATTTCATTTTTTTTATAATATAAACTAACTGCTAAATGTGGAAGACAGATGTATAATTTTAAACAAATAGCTTAACTCCATATTCTTAGAACATGCCAAAACTGAAACTTGCTACAAACATATAACTGATCTTCTACAGTGCACAGTGCTGTGATACAATATTTGTTAAGCTTTCATTCTATGCATTTTTACAATTTTTTAATTTACAAGCTATGTGAAGCTCATATGTCGTAACAGTCTAGGGATTGTGCAGTGCATTCAACAATTATGACTGATATGATTTGATATTTCTTTAATCTTACTAAGTTCTTAAGTGTGAATCTATTTCAATTTAAAATGGTTAAAATATTATCCAACATAAGATATGATTTATGTCTCAATGGGGATGAGTCATGGAAAGCCCAGTTTAAGCCTGATGATTCGAAATGACTGAAACTAGTCGATTCATGAGATAAATCTGGGACGGTTACTCGCCACTCATATATTTTTAATTTTATTTACACTTACTAAATTCATGCAACTTATTTAGATAGATTTTATTTTACTATGACTTCTGGATTTAGTTTCAAACTTTTTATATTTTGTTTCCTGTATTTTATTCTCTGCTTGAGAACGATAAGAGAACACTTTTCTAAACATTGTGCTATATGTGTAAAAAAAACACATCTGATTCTATTCCATATATATATAATGGTTGTGGTCTGTTGCCTGTTTTTGCTTGGGTGTTGAATTTGTCAACAATTTTTTCATTATGCCCCATGTCTTCCTTCAATCTTATAATATATAAAACTTAAAGTATTAGCAATTTAGGTACCCACCTCTTTACTTTGAAGTTCCATTTGTTGTACTAAATCTTCCCATCGAGCCTGTAAATCCTCTAATTGTTGACTAATCTTTTCCATGGCTGTTTTACTTTCAACTCTTTCGACAATCTGTTGACCGTGTATATTTAATTCATCAAATCTAGCAACTTGTTCTACCATATCATGTTCAATCATCTACAAATTTGGAACATTTTCAAAACATTAAAAATAGCAACAGGTATTCATAGAATAATCTAAACAGAATAATATTATTTGATCTGCATTGCCAGGAATTATTTATTTACTAGGAATATCTCATATTGAGCAATACAAGAAATCACATTTCAGATAAGATAAGAAATGAAATGGAGAAGAAATGAGCTTTAATGGCTACTCAACACAAACTAGATGATTTTGGGACTAACCTATGGTAAAAAAAAAGCAGTGGAAGAAAATTGCAGGGCTTGGAGAAAACACATTAGTTGGTTTCAAGTAGGAACCAGACTTCAATGAAAACAGAAAGTTTTGTTGACATCAATTAATTTGTATTCTGATGTTCACGATTATCAAATTCTCTAGTTGTCGATTAGACGATATTTGTATTCTCTATTTCCTAGCATTTCTAACTTAATAACTGAGTAAAGTTTTTTAAAATAATATCACAATTTCAATGTTGGAATTTGCGTGGAGAAGATCATGCCAAGACCTAGTTATAGGGCCTGGGAAATGACAGAAAACAGTTTTGGACTCATTGATTTTGGCTAAAAAATAAATAAGGTCGAGCTGGTAGCCGTAAACTCAGGTATTTTTTTATTTTGGTATTTAAGACTGTACCTTGAGATGTCTGACTTGTTGAACAACCTGATTAGAATTAGACAAATCAGCAGACTTCATTCCTTTCAAAACTGCTTCTTTAGAAGCTAACCAATCAGAAAAGCTGGTCTGTTCATCATGAAAATGTTGCCATTTTAAAAGAATATCTTTCAGTAGTACCCACTGTTCTTCAGCCCAGCGACAAATATTACTCCATCGTTTTCCTAATCTTTCAAGTTGCCGTTCCATAGTTTCACAAACTGAAAATCAAAATATTTAAAATTCATTTTAATTCTTAAGGGTGTTCGATACTCTGTCGCACAAGGGAACATTGCTTGATTATTTTCATTTTAAATAAATCTTTATGAGTACAAAAATGCATTAAATTTGGGCATTAAAAAATACAAATGTAATTTGATGCACATAAACAAAGTTACAACTAACCACCTTCTGCACTATCACCATCTTTTACAATCACCATATTATGTAAACCTTGTATTGCATTTATAAACAAATATAGATGAACAGATGGGCGGACATCAAATGTGTGCATATTAAAAGGATGCAAATGTAATTTTATATTATTTATATATAAACAAAAGAGAGAGAGAGAAATGGGGTTTAACGTCCACTCGACACAAACTATGTCATTTCGGGACTAACATATGGTTCAATCTTTTTCAATAATTTGCTTGCACGTAGGGGTCTTTAGCAGTGGGAGGAAACCGGAAGACACGGAGAAAACCCACAAGGTTGAACAGGCGATCCTCTTTCGTGTCATGTACAACCGGGGAATCAAAACCACGCTAGTTGACTCAATGACAGACCTTATGATACAGCGTGCACGTGCTAACCATTCTGCCATCCAACCACCCAATATATACTCTTCAAAAAAAGTAGGGGATATTGAAATGCAAATACCTATATGCAGGTTGTGATATGATAAATAGTTATGGACACTTGACATGCTTTGAGAGTATGTTCACAGATGAAGAACTTATCGTCCCAACAGAACCACTGAGCTGCACATGCGACACGCAATAGCGCCATACACGTGGGAGGGGTTCATTGTCAAATTTGACATGTCAATGAAGGGTTGATGAAAACTGCCGTGTGCTGGTTTATCTATCGGTTCTTGCATAAGATTTACTGTTTAGCGTATATTTTTGTTTAATTTGATCGGGAGACGTGTTCGTTGATGTCAACGTCAACTGACAACACTGCAAGAATTGGCCGTGGCACTGCAAGAGGAGTGGGTCAGCTTGACCCAAATTGTGATTGGACGGTTGATTAGGAGCATGCCATGACGAATTGCTGAATGTCTGAGGATTGGTGGAGCAATTACTCATTATTAAGACAAAAATCAAAAACATCCATTTTCACTTTTGACGGTGTATCTCTTTGCGAGTGAAATGGGGCCGTCAGATAAGCCGCCTATATGAACTGTTTATGTTCATGTGTAGGCAATTGGCCTGTTATCAACATACATTGGTTACCTCTAATAAAAACAGCAGTGCATTTCCGCAGTCTTGTATTGTTTCTGAATATTCCCTACTTTTTTTGAAGAGTATATAAACAAAATTAGAACTAACCAGCTTGTGAACTATCATCATCTATAACAACCACCATATTATGTAAACCTTCTATTACTTTCTGTTGAGATTCTAATTCTTCTTGAAGTTTCTAATTAAAACAATATGATAAAAACACCATCAGTTTACATTACATTGATAGCTGGCAGGAAGAAAATTCAACAATGAGTTACTTCAACTCTGTTACAGAACAGGTAAATCCTACATGTTTCATGTTGAGTGTTGGGTGGGGTGGGGCAGGAAATCAGCTGATCTTTCACAGGGTTAGATCTATTTGATAAGGCTAACTTCAAGTTTGGTCAAAGGCCATGAAATGTAAACAGGGCTAGTGCTAATCCCCACCCTAACCCTAACCATGGACCTAGCCCTAATGCTTACACTAACCCTAACCTTGACAAAAATTAAGTTAGCCTTAACAAATACATTTAGCCCTTTCACAGAGAGTTGTACTGTAAAATTTAGATAATTTAGAAATGAAACATAACCATTTAGTTTGTTTTTCAGACTCAAATAAATTCAGGAATGTGTGGATCTAATCCATGGAGCATGTAGAATCTGGTCAAACATGTACAAATGTATATGCACAAGTAATCTTAATTTACCTTATGTTTTTTAACTTGAATTTTAATGGATGACAAGTCTGAACCTATTGTTTGTTGTAGTTTAAGTTGATGTTCCATCGATGTCAGCCATGTTGACAACCCATCTAACTGTTCTTGTTGTTTCTTCATTAACAATTTTTGTAGTCTGTTAACAAATAAGAATTTATAATTTAATTAAATCACACCAAAACACATCTTTCCATCATTCTTACATATTCTTAAAGGGACAATAACATTCTTGCTGGCTTGACAGCTCCAGAAAATAAAAAATAGCCTTATTCTAAGTACTAGATGTGTTAGTGTCCTACCTGTTGTGTAAATTATCCATTAAATCCTATTTTACTTGTCCAGAGGGTTCAAAAATATTTTTAAATCCAAGTCACATTTGAAAAGCTTTACGTCAGGCTTTTCAAATCATTTAGTTGAATTTTTCCAATTTTTTAAATTAGGTGTGTTAAGATAAAATTTGTATCATCAATTATTTGGAATATTGTAAAATAGTACAATTTGTTGACCAGAATAAAGATTGGGACATATTATTCAGTTACAACAAGAGTGGTATTGAGCCTTTAAAGAGACCATTTCTGGGACTATTGTGGAAAGAATCATGTTGCATCACATTCCAGCATTCATCTTTCTTGTATATTGCCAAGGTAATTATGCAGGTGTGTATATAAAAGACCAAAGGCCAAGAAACAAAGATCTGTTTTTTTATTGCTTCGGCCATAGAAAAATAAATCTGTTTTATATTCAAGGTATGAAAGGTGAAAGGTGAAAAATTTTTAAAGATAAAATTGAGATTCTTTGTTTTGCTTAAGGAATATAGAAAAGGTATCCTCTCTCATATCTTGTTTACATGTTAGTATTTAATTCTTTTTAAATGTTAATTTTTGGTCACACCCGGGTTGACAAATTATGACAAAGACATAAATGGGGTCTTTGTTTTGGGGACTTAGGTCTTTACCCAGTGTGAGAGTAATAATTGCACCTTCACCTTAGCAATTTAACTTGCACCTCCACACAAGACGATTTTATGACAACATTCAAAGCATTATGCACTGTTCTATGGTTCATGTAGATATTCTGTTCCTTATTCTGGCAATTTCTAATATAATGTGTGACATTATCTAAATAGTTCTGGTTAATATTTACTTGATCAAGACTGACAGTTCTGACAAATTATCTGAATGTTCTCGGAATTTGGAAATTGTAGCATTTGAATAAACTCTACGAAAATACAAATCTGTCTTATATACAGTCTCTAAAAATAGATCTCTAAACAATTTATCAATGATCATCTGTAGATAATTTGTACAGTTGTTACTAACATGTAAAAAAATATATTTTTAAAAAAAATAAACTTTCTGTTTTTAGAAAGTATAACCTGTGCGTATTTTAGGATACTTAATAACTTGGATCTGTACCAAGTTTGTAAAATAAATAATATTGAGTATTCAGTGGATTTTTGTTCACATCTGTTCAATGAAACATGTGCATCAAACAAATTTAATTTTGTCTGTTAGAATCAGATAATACAATTTGTTCTCAATGTTTATATCTTTTTTTCTTATTCCAGCATTCAAGATGCTTGAAACAGTGAATTTATGAGGTATTTTTATTACCCTGTTTGTCTTTTGAGAGCTTGCAGACGGAGATCTTCCCATCGTTTGTTTAGTAGATTCATTTGTTCATGAATTTCATTTTCTTCTTCAGCGGTCATCTTGCCATTGTTAATTAGGTCACCACCTTCTCTTAGGACATTTCCAATACTGTCCTGATGATCAGTCAGATCTAACATAAATGCCTGGAAGAAAACTCCTGAGTATAGATAATAAATACATATGGTCATGGGATAGTGTTTGCCTCAAACCAACTATGACTCTTGTCGGCTTTGAAGGAAAATAAAAATAGTTTGGTGACTAAACTTTGAGTGACAGAAATAAAAATAATATTTTTAGTCTCAGAAAGAGAAATAAAATTTCTAGTCTCAAAAAAAAAATAACATTTTTAGTCTCAGAAACCCAACATTTCTAGTCTCAGGAAAAAAAGAACATTTTTAGTCTCAGAAAAAAAAGAACACTTTTAGTCTAAGAAGGAAAATAAGATTTATAGTATCAGAAAGAAAAATAACATTTATAGTGTCAGTTTCAGAGAGAAAAATAACATTTAGGCCTCATAGAGAAAAATACCATTTAAGCCTCAGACAGAAAAATAACATTTAAGCCCAAGAGAGAAAAATAACATTAACATTTTTAGTCTCAGAGAGAAAAATAACATTAACATTTTTAGTCTCAGAGAGAAAAACAACATTTTTAGTCTCAGAAAGAAAAATAACATTTTTAGTCTCAGAAAGAATAATAACATTTATAGTGTCAGTCTCAGAAAGAATAATAACATTTATAGTGTCAGTTTCAGAGAGAAAAATAACATTTTTAGTCCCAAAAAGAAAAATAACATTTTTAGTCCCAAAAAGAAAAATAACATTTTTAGTCTCAAAAAGAAACATTTATTATAGCACAGTATCAGTTTCCGAAAAAAAAATAATTTGATGCATTAAAAGACCATTAGGTTCATCTCTGCCAACATCTTAATTTCATGAATAATAATCAAAAACATATGATTTTCCCACTGTTGTCGTTAAATTATTAGAAAGCTGCATCATGTCTTAAATAATTCATTGTTTATTTAGAAGGTTGCAACCTCAGATGATAAATTTGTAGCTTTTATTTGCTTATATCACAAAAGGGATTGAGATTTGAGACAATACATTTTACAAGGAAAAAATCTTCTTAGGAGCGTTTTGGCATTTGTCTGCGTCAATATTATTTTAGTAATTCATTAGTGCTTACTGGTGAAAGCATTACAATCACATGGTGTTTACCTTGTTTTTAAATAGTTTTTCAAGTTGTGATAATAAACTAATAAACTCAAACATCTCAAATTTTCACAGATTACCATTAGAAAGTTAGCGATTGAGCTAAATAAAACAGTTCCATTTACAAATCAATATTCATTTTAATTCCAAATAAAGATCCCCATATATTTTAAATTCTGCTCTGTCCATGCAATACATTTTTACTCTCAGTGGGAGGCAAATACATCACAACATGCAAATATGCATGTTCTTTAATTTAATGTATCAGGGAACACATATTCCCTATTTAATTACAAATTTTATCATTAAATTTCATCATTTCTTGATATCCTTTGAACGCACTTGTAGACAGAAAACACATCCATGTTACCAAAACCAAACTGTTTATCAGTTGCCTAACGAAATAGTCTATGAGCTGGCAGAAAAACAAAAAAAAATATCTGTCTACAGGGTACGATGTTGATTAAAATATTGGCTCAGATATCTGGCCACAAAACTCCCTGTGGACTAATGTAAATATATAACTTAAAGAATAAATATACCTCATGTTTATTAAATTCTTGTTTAACATTATCGATGGTTACCAAAGATTCCACTGGGTCAAGTTTTTCTATTGTTTCTTCTGAATCTAGCAACCATGCTAAAACGTTCTCTAAGGCATCTTGATAAGATAGTAAATCCACCGATGTAGTACTGATGGTACTGTGACGACTTTCTGGAGTAGGACTACTATTTGACATGGTTTTCTGAAATAAATATAAATTCATATAAGTCTTTAAGACAATAGATATAATATTCTCCACCTGCAGCACTAACAGATTTAATTAATCCAGGGATTATCTGATTTTATTAACTGCCAGGTTAACATAATCTAAAGATCACATAAAAATGGTATGTTGAAGACCTAGGGTTTCTTTGCACCAAAAACTAATTTCATCTGAATCCATTCATAATTAATTGAGATATATTCAATCAAGGTAGCCAGTGTGGCTCTACTCAAGAAGAGGATTTTGCCAATTTCCCCTATGCATAGGACATCAAAGATATCAAATGTTTATTAGAAGGGTGTAATGCTGTAGACCTATATACATTCTATTATACAAACAAGCCAATAATGATGTGTACTGATTGGGTCTTAATCCACATGTGTAATTTGACATAGCCATTGAGCAGACTAAGATAAAAATAATTCTTTTATATGAAGTTAGGAGACATAGGCCAAGTAAGATCGTTCAAAGACCTCCGTCTAGGTAATACAAATGTCCACAGAAGAATAAGAGAAGTCGAGATAGAAATACCAAATAAAAGAGTAAAAGAAATACCCAACCTTATAGTACTTCAAGCCCACTAAGGAGACGCGAGAGTTAGAATAGTAACGCCAGGCCACTCACGGAAAGAATGCCCTCTCCGAGGCCCAGAGAAAGAAAAAGAAAAGAAACAGTTCCACCAGCAGTTAAAACAGTACAAGACAGGAAGCCAGCTCCAACGGCACCAATACTTCCGAAAAGTTTACCAGCAAACCAGTCGCCGCCAGTCCAGCCACCAGCTTTAAAAAGAAGACGAGAAGGAGAAGCTAGATCTCCAACAACACCAGATCTCGCAAATCCAAATTTCGAATTTATAAAACCACGGAAACCATCATCAACAGGAATATCCGAAGTAGAAAGCAGTATCAACATTACAGAGACCAGTATCTACACCTCAACATCAGGCATCAACAAAATCCACGAGATATTCGAATTTTAAACCGTTATCAAACATAACACGTGATTGTCTGCGATATCACTTCGGTGGAAGCGGACGTAAAATACAACTAACTAACAACAATGAAGTTAGGGAGACAACGGATATCAAAATGAATTTGCTATAAATGTGCAATAACATTTTATATTTATTTTGAAACACATAATATTACTGATATATGTTCATGTACTATTTAGGGTTCTCAACTTTGTGACTTCATATATTTATGACCTTCAAATTGGAATAAGGATGATACCACATGTTATTCCTGTGTCTGTTGACCAGTAATTCACCTACAATAATTGGGAATATGGAGGTGTCTAATTCTTGTATATAAATGACGTCAGTGATGTAAACACAGTTATAAGCTATCACTAACTCAGCAAACCATTAGGTCTATTACAAATACATTATGCAAGAGCTAAATCTGCCCAGGTCTTTCTTTAGGCTTTAAATGTTACATAAACTATTAGTTGGACATTTATTAACTTTACAAGACAATAATTAACTCTGGATGCCATCAGATGGGTCCATTTTCAACAGATTTGAATCCGATCTGCGGTTCAACGACCTAATTGATTAACAGTAAAATTGGATAATCGTGACTTTATTTATTGTCGCAACAATGGTAACAATGACAATCACGGCTACAGTGTTATTAAAATGATTTCTCGGCTCAGAGTTAGGTAATTTGACTGAAATTTTCAGCATATCCCCTTTACATTATCAATTTGTTAATTATTATAGTAAGAATTACTGTCAGCTCTTTATCTAATCTTCCATGATGCCACTTTAACAAAATTCTGAGAAATTCTCATATACATTATGACTATATTATTCATGACACACCTTTCGGCTTTTCAAGATTAAGGAGTTCGTAATTGTGATATAATATAATTTGACTTGAGATCTAATTCACCTTCATCTATAATGGATGTCAACAATCGAACATTTGATTGAATAAATGTGGCATTGGAACTCGGAAAAGATCTCCTTTATCTGTTTGCATAGTCTGAAAACTTCAATAAAGTTTTGCCAAAGACCAAAACACGCATCTCACATTACTGTTGTAACCAAAGATAGACATTTACAATCTGAATTATTAAAGATACGTTATGTAAGATTTAGATAAAGAGCTAGCCATTCTTGCTATAATGAAAATAGATAATGTAAAATGAATAATTTGAAAATTTCATTCAAATTACTCTATTGCGAGCAAAGGTATTAGCCTTTGAAGGTTTGACAAGACGTGTGCAATAATTTCAACCACCGTACTGGTTGTTCGAAGCTAAATCTCACTCCTCCATTTTTAGCTTAAATCAAAATATGGCTGCACAGTTCTAATCTATTTAATATCGGAGAAATCCGATGCCATCGAGAGTTGATTATAGCCTGGATAAGTTAATTAATCTCTAATTAATACTTCAGAAAACATTTCAGGCCTAAAGAAAGACTTGTAGTAGGCAGATTTAGCTCTTGCATAATGTATGTTTAAGTCAAGTGGCATGGTTTCAATCCCAAGTTTGCAAGTGACAAGGAGTGGGTTGCCTGTCATGTGTTTTCTTTGCATCATCCATAATGTATGTTTAATAAACACATTTCAATCCTTTCATGACAATTCATTTTTTTGGAAATCTATGAAACAACCGGCTATTGGGTGTTTTTTCTGTGTTTGAATTTTCACAACCCTCGATCACAAACACACACTGGTCAATTCTATTAATCACAATAATTATATTCCTGACCCTCCACTATAATCACATTCCTGACCCTCCACAATAATTATATTCCTTACCCTCCACAATAATCATATTCCTGACCCTCCACAATAATCACATTCCTGACCCTCCACAATAATTATATTTCTGACCCTCCACAATAATTATATTCCTGACCCTCCACAATAATCATATTCCTGACCCTCACATGCTAACCATTCAGCCATCCAACTCCACTAATTAAATTAGAGCTCCTAATTTTTCCAAATACATTCCAAATAGAAAACAGTATAGAATGACTAGTATATTATACTTTCTCAATACGTTTTTTTGTAACTGTTTATGACCACAAATCCTGTTCTGTTAATTTCAACACATCATAATAAATTAATTAGCACCTGACTGTTAAGATTGTTGATTGGGTAATCAGGTTTAGTTTGTAGATCATTAAAGATGTAAGTGTGCTCTGTAACCTTTGTCACATTGAATATCATAGCTGTTAACAAAGTGGATTGAATTTAACTTTAACTTGGGAATAAGTAATTAACAGTCTACAGAGCTAGACTTAATAAATCATCATTTTAATTGACCTATGTCTCGATGATCAAATGTATTGAATAATTTCAACGAAATTTGTGTGGAATTGCTATATAGCATATATAACAAAACTGCCTTCATGCACATACAACTTTTGATGTGTTCAATTTATGTACTCTTTTAAATGAAATGAAATGAAATGGGGTTTAACGTCCTACTGTTCTGCTCCTAAACTGGGCTAATGAAGACGGGTATACGCCATACAGTGTGCTATGAGGGCAGCGGCGCTACGGCCTATTCTTATATCAAATTCCAACTGCCAAGGGATCTTTAACTTGCACGCCAATGTGTACACGGGACCTCGGTTTTTCGTTCCATCCGAATGACTACTCAGCTGTCCTTGTCAGGCCCTCCGTCCTGCATCACTGACAAGGGGAAACCACCCAGGAAAATCTGGATGAACTTTCTCGGCCAATGCAAGGATCGAAGACCCGACCTCCAGGCTAGTGAGCCAGTGTCTTACCCACTTAGCCATCGTGATCCTTTTAATAAATATCAAAATTTTACAAATAAATGGGACTAAGTGACTTTTCTTAGTACCTGTTCTCATATAAGATTAGCAAGAGAAATACATCAATGCCCTGACAAGAAGAGATAAAAACATCAAGATTTGTTGCAAAATGATTGACATGAATCACGTGATTAACTACTTAGATACCGTCTTTTATTAGAAGATAAAGATTTATTTCAAATGAAGTGAATGGGTTTATAAACATTCTTTTACAATACATGTATATGCATGTTGGATCTCACTTTACTACTAGTTTTCATACACATGATGAATTAGATATTGTGTTTTATTAGAAGATATTAAGATTTATTTCAAATGAAGTGAATGGGGTTATAAACATTCTTTTACAATATATGCATGTTGGATCTCACTTTACTACTAGTTTTCCTACAGGTTTGTGAAAGTGTGTTTCAAACTAAATTTGATAAAATCAATAAAAGAAGTAGGTGAATATGTTAAAGAATAAAGACAAAGACAATATAATCTAACTTCTATAGGATACCACAGTAGGTCACATTATCTTAGATGATAACAAAAATATTTAGAGAATCTTGATGGAGGTCAAGTTTAAAGGAGAGAGAGACAGAGAGAAATGGGGTTTAACTCCATTCAACACAAACTAGGTCAGTTTTGGACAAACACATGCTTCAATATTTTTTCAATACTTCATTTGTGCATAGTGGTCTTAGGCAGGAAACTGGATGATGCAAAGAAAACACATGACAGGCAACCCACTCCTTTTCACTTGCAAACTTCAGATTGAAACCATGCCACTTGACTTAAACATACATTATGCAAGAGCTAAATCTGCCTATTGCAGGTCTTTCTTTAGGCCTGAAATCTTATCTAATCTATTAATTAGACATTAATTAACCTATCCAGAACATAATCAACTCTCGATGTCAGCGCTATCCTGCGATAATTGTTTAACGATTAAATGGACAATCGAGACTATGATTTTTGTCGTACCGACTTTAGTAATGATGACCGAGGCTATGCGGAACTTTCGATCCCTTATTTCTTGGTTCATAGTGGATCAATTTGACTGAAATTTTCAGCAAATTGCCTTTACATTATCTAGTTTTTAACTATTATAGTGAGAACTGCCAACTCGTTATCTAATCTGTATCTTTAATGACAGACCTGAAGATCTACAGCACACTCAACTACCCAACCA